CCAGCAAGTCTAATTCTGGCTCTATACCTGAGTGAATTGAAGGCAGGGTCTCACAGAGATATTTGTACACCCATGTTTATAGCAGCATTATTCACAATAGCCCAGAGCTGGAAGCAACCCAAGTATATACTGATTGATGAATGAAAAATATGTAGTATGCACATTCAATGGAATATTATTCAGCCTTAAAAAGGAAGGAATTCTGACACATGGATGAACCCTGAAGCCATTAAGCTAAGTGAAATCAGCCAGTCACAAACTGACTGTTTGATTCCACTTATGTGAGGTAGTTAAGAGTATTCAAAATCATAGAGAAGAAAAGTAGAACGGTGGTTGCCAGGGGGATGGGAGTAGAGGGGAATGTGGAGTTAGCATTTAATGGGTAGAGTTTCAGTTTGCAAGATGAAGAGCTCTGTAGATGGATGGCAGTGGTAGTAGCACAGCAATGTGAATGCATTTAATACCACTGGAACGGTACACTTAAAAATGGTTAACTTTTAAAAAAGCTGTCCTAAAAAAAGAACCCCCAAAACAACTGTATCACAAATTCAATTTAAAGAAATATTGTTAATTATATTTTGATATGGCTTGATTCCTTTATAATCTCAAGTGTTTTATTTTATGCATTTAAAACACTATTCTGGGGAGGAGTCCCTGGACTTCTTCAGGCAGCCAGAAGGGTCTGCAGCACACAGGCTTGAGATCCTCTGATCCAAGGCTCTGCTGCTCAAACTGCCTGGAGACACAGAATTGGTGCCTGAATAAACAAGAACGGTCCCTGGAAAATCTGTTTTACTCAAGTGTTACACCTTTTGAACATATTTAAGAAGACCTGGATGTATCATGGAGTAGAAAGCAAACTTTACGCGAACTTTCAGGATAAAACAAGAAATGTTAAATGCATTTTGTGCGTGTGGCTGGTTGTTGGGATATATCTCCAAAATCTCAGGGGTTTACAGTCTTCTCTGTGTTAAGGGTAAGTATGGCCCTTGAAAATCTGAGATGTCAGTTTCCTCCTTAGCCTCATGGTCCTTCAAATTAGGGAGGCTGCGTGGGGTGACTGAAAGGAAAAGTTTTCGCAAAAGAAAAACCTGCGTTCAAATCTGAGCTCTACCAGTTATAGCTGTGTGGCTGTGGGCCAGTTCCCTACCTGCCCAGGGCCTCTGTCTTCCCATCTGTAAAATAGAGGTAGATGGCATATCTACCTCAGAAAGTATACAAAACTTCTAGTCCCTAGAAGGAGCCCAAGACAATTTACTTCAAAACAGGAAAGCCAAGCTCCTTCTTATCTGTGGATACGCTGTATCCAGGGCTGTCATGGCCTGGGTACCAATTTTTGTTTCAGCTCCTCCACCTTACTCCAGTGAGATGGGATCTCCCTTTCCGTTTCTCCGAGTCTGCATTTGGGGATCCTCAGTATTTTGGCTGTCTCCTTTTGGGGGCTTCCAATTTGACGATGAATCTGAACGGGCTGGTAACAGCTGCAGCCAGGCTGGTGGAAAACTCGCTGGAGCTGAAGCTGGGGCCCCCCCTTTCACTGCCCTAGGAAGACCTCGACAATCCTCGCAGCTTTTATCCACACACAAGATCGGCGTTGAGCACCACAACCCCAATCACCGCTAGAGAAGCTGGGTCCAGAGGAGTGGGGGCAGCGCAGAACATTCGGAGGGCCCGCACCTGCTGAGCACACACGGGGCAGGCTCACCTGAAGCCGGAAGGCGAGCCCGCACAACGCACGCACGCGCACGCACGGAGGCTGGCCGGAAGCTTGGAGGCGAGCCCGCACGATGCTCGCACATGAGCACAAACGCGTACGCACGAGGTACTCAGGTGGGCGTGCCTGTGTTAGGTGTACTTGTACCCTTGCGGCTCCCCGGTGGTTTGCCCAATAGTGTCTGCAGTTGGCAGCCAGAAGGATGATCACGGGTCCGCGAGAAGCAGGAGGGCTCGGATCTGAGACTGGACCTCAGGAGGAAGGCCAGGATCCAGAAGTGCAAGGTGAGTGCAAGGGAAAACAGCCTGAGCAGGTCTTGAGCCAGCTTCCTGCTGCCTGGGGCAATGATGGCGTCAGGCCTGTGGAAATGAGAGCCAGGTTTGAATACTTAAGGACAGTAAAGCCAATTAAACAACCAGGTGCCCCTCTCTCCTTTTCTGGTTAGGCCTCCCAGGCCTCGCATCATCTGGTCCTAGGTTGCCTCTTCATTCTCTTTCTCACTACTTTCATCCTCACACTCGCAGCTCTGGTCATGTCCCCTGCATTGGGGCAGACACCTCCTGGACTGTACCCCGGAATGAATGTCTCAAGCCTAGGCCTGCCCTCTGGAAAGAACAGCCAGCTCTCCCACAGTGGCCTTACTGACCCTGGGCCTTCTGTTGGGAGACCACCTAGCCTCCTGCAGGTGCGGAGCGGGTGCACAACTGGCCAGGCCAGGCAGTGGGAGACTCAGGCTCTGCAGGCCTCCTTTTCCTTTGAGGCCAAAGATGGGCTGTGGTCAGCACATGTTGGATATGCCTCATAGAGGCTTAGTGAACTGGCGATAATAATAGTACTACAAAATGAAAAAGTAGTAATACCTTATATTGTTGCTTTCAAGTTTGGAAAGCCTTTTCATTAATATTATCGAAGTGTAATTCTCGCAACCTTGTAAGGTTAATGGTATCCATCCATCTTATTATTCCCATTTTACAGATGAGGAAACTGAGTCACAGAAAAGTTATGCAACTTTCTCAGGTCACTGAACCTCTTTTTTTTTTTTAACCATTCTGATTTGTAAGTGCCTCTATGTTAAATTGGGGTAGAGGGTAAAAGAACAACCACTGCAAAATGGCACATGGGCAGTGTCTGGTCCAAAAGTGAGGGTCTGCAGGTTCTTTTGAAAGCATCTCAGACAAGAGAAGGTCACTCCTGAGCCCTGAGGGCTGCCACCAACCTGGTTTATAAATTGATTGTATGCTAAATGAGAACTGAGATATTGAGGCTGGGATGGAGGCCAAGGACCACATGAGAGACAAAGCTGGGCATTGATCACCACAAGTCCTCAGCAACACGGGTTATTACCATGGCTCCTTCATCAAACCGTAGTGATACCCCCACAGGTCCTTAATACTGTGATTATTAGTGTCCCCATCTCCTGTGTCTCCAGGCAGAGAGGAGGCTTCAATTCAACCATTTTGAACAAAGTGATACGACCAGCCGAGGGGCAACTAGCATTTTGCACACTGGGCAAAGGATGCCCAATACCCTGCCATTCCTGAGACTGTCCTACAAAATGAAGAATTGTCCTGTGCCCTACACAACTGTCAAATGACTAGTTGGACAATTCTGGAGGTGAAAAACCTGGCTTTATCATCTTATACCAGGACTCAATACAGGTTTGCATGGTTTTAGAAAACATTGAATGCATGCAACCAGTATGTATATTAAGATTGCACTTAACAGTGTTCACAATATAGGAAAGCATTGTATCTGACAGCAATGCTGCATGTAGTTTTGGAAGCCCAGTTTGACCCACCTCGTCACTCTGCATTGCTGATGTTGCTGGCACCAGGAGTCTGTTCAGCGGTGTGGTGCTGTGCATCATCAGGGCTTCCAAAGTAGTCATGTCCATACATTTACGTATGGCAATACACATTAATTTATCATAAATTACCCTTTTTACAGTTAAGATGTTTGACCTTTTAAAATTATGAGTATAAATATATTACCTTTACTTTTATTTCAGGATAATAAGGGAGTATTATGATAAATTTGTAAGAGAATAGAGGCATTGAGTTTGAGAATCACTGCTCTGAGCAAATGGCAGTTTCCTTTTTTTCCTAGAAAATACAGGATTTCAGGGTTAGAGGAGATCTTGAGTGTCACTCAGTCCTTTCCCCACTCCATCTAGTACTCAGATCCCTGCAGTTGGAGGACCAAGGACCTTCACACACCTCTTACTCCTGTGATGTGACTCTTTGGAGTTCCCAGGATGGAACCAAGTGGGAAATCAGCCCAAATGACCAAGGGCCCAGGTGCAGTGAGTGAGCTTCACCAGATGTTGGCAGGTGGTATTACAGATATTGGGATCCAAGAGCCATTCAAGATCTCATCCACTTAAAGAGGTTGGCATCAGCTCAGTGGAAAACCTAGACCTGCATTGTAAGAGAAAATACTCTACCCTTAGAGGCTCAGTCAATATCAGGGACCCCAGAAATGCCAAGCTGGTGGACAAACACACTGTATCTCAGAACATACCCTGGTGCTGGAGTTCTGAATGACTCCATGGCATCTGGTCCTCAAGAAGCACTGGGCTAGGTGGAATGAAGTAAATTGATGGGCTGGGATCATTAGGAAACTAGAGGCAACTAAGTGAAGGTGTCTCCTCTTGGCAGTTTATTCCAGGATGAAGCTTCAGTGACTTCATATTCTTGGATGAAGGGGCTGTGTCATGTCAGAAGGGCTGGCTTAGTGAGCTTCAGCCAGGGTGAACCCCAGTGACTTTGCTGACTCAGTGGCCCAAAGCTGCCTTGACTGGAGATGGACCTGAGAGGCAGAATGCTGGATTAAACCACCTGCAACCATGCTCAAATCTTTCCCCCATCTTTCTTCTCCACTGCTCTCACTACCCCATGAATTTGCCACTCAGTTGTTCCTTCCCATGCCCTATGCCCCTTCCACTGGAGGCTGGATGGCTATACTCCACCTACTTCCCTCCAGCCCCCCTGGACTGACACAGAGCCCTCTGTCTTCCTGTGGAATGCAGTAGCAGTTCTGAGCATGGTGCTGGACAAGAAGTCCAGCTCCCCTCATAAACTTTTTATAGCTTAGGAAAATAAACATGTGGTTTAAGGTCTTTGCATAGGCAGTGCTCGCTGAGTTTGAGCTTGCTTTACAGAACTACGAAAGAAAATATTGGTAGAGCTAAGAAATTTCTGAGCCAGCCAAGGGACAGTAGTCCAGAAATCTTGGGGAGAGTTTGATGGTTCAGGCAATAAAAAGAGAAGTCATCTGTGTAGCTGTTATCTCGCTCCATCCCACTAAGAATCTGCCTGCCTGAGTGATGCAGCCAGGCTCCCTTGTTCCCTGGGGCAAGGAACCAGTAGAGGGATAGGGAATCACAGTGTTTCCCAGCTGCAAGGGCCCTTGGAGATGGTTTTACAGATGAGGAAGCAGGGTCCAGAGAAAGGAAGTGATCTGCTGGGAACCACTGTACTTTTCACACAAGCAACTTTCCAGGCATCTGCTGTGTGCTATCCACAGGATAGCAAGGGGGTAAGGAGACCACTTAATGCATGTGTGCAAGCAGCAGGGCAGCAGCAGGGGTTCAGGGCCCATTTCTGAAGTTTACTTCCTGGGTTTGTGGAAGAGAAGAGACCCTTGAAGAAGGAAGAATGACTATGAGGTTTTCAGTTGGAGGAGTGGGTAGAAGGATAAAAATAATATCAGTATTGCTCTTGTTATCATTTATTAAACATTTACTCTGTAGGACCTGTTGTCACCCCACTGAATCCTCAGAACTCTGAGAAGCTCATATTAAAGTCCTCAATTTGCAGTTAAGAAAAACTGCAGATCAAGGGGGTTGAGTCATTTGCCAACAATCACCCAGCTGGTAAATGCAAAGCCATAGTTAAACCCATGCTGCCTGACCCCTGAAGCCTGGACACCTGCTCAAACAGCTTGCTGGAACGGATGATGGGAAAGCAGACAAGAAGAGTGGGTTAGGTGGGGCTAAATTCGAGGATCCCATGGAACAGTCAGGCAGAAATACAGGTCCAGGTTGGAGATGGGCATCAGAGCGGGATACGTGGATTGGGGTCACCCGCTAAAGGGATATTGAAGCCAGGTCTCTTTCCTGCCAAAGTCTCTCTCTGGGACACTGAAACTCTATGTGTAGAGAGGGGTGCAGGAGGACCAGGTGGAAACCTGGGGAAGTCAGTGGTTACAGGCAGGCAGAAGGCACCTGGGGCTCTGTTTACAATGGGCAGGTATATGCAATCCCACTTCCAAAGTCTGAAGAAGCTGAGAGGCTGAAGAAAGAGGCTGACAAATACAGTTTCTTAGAAACATTTAATAGAAACTTCAGAAAAGAAGCCGTGTTTATGTCTCAGGTGGCAGTGACAGAAGATGGTGGATCCACGTACCAGTACCCCCAAGACCCAGGGCTTATATACCACAGGGAGGAGTGGTTCAGAAGGGAAGTGTAGGACAGTTGAAGTATGATAACATCAAGGTTGACCCAGGATTTACAGCAAGTACTTGCTCTTACACAAGGAACAATGGATATGCTGGAAATCTTAGAGGCCTTCCCAGAACTGGTGATAATCAGAAGTCAACATGGTGAGTAGCATCCAAGATGGAGTCGCTTTGGCCTCCACAGGCTCTAAAGGTGGCTCTGGCTTTGCTTGATGCAGAGGTGAAGCCACATCACAGCAGAATGTTTCTGGCCTAGAAGCTGATACTATAGCTCCCCAGTGAGAAAAAACAGTCCCCATGGCTGACAAGGACATGGAGGACAGGTACATGTTCCTCTCCTACTATGCCTTCCAGGCACACTCATTCTCTCCAGGCCAGGACAGCAGCATCTGAATCAACCCTACAGGTAGGATTCCCTTCAAACCCAGCATTTTCCTCTTCTAGGAACTTATTCTGAAGACATAATGAGGGATGTGTATGAGGATATGTATCACAGCATTACTTCTGTTTGTGGAAAATCACAGATCATATAAATAGCCCACAGGAAAGGATAGATTACATCATTAAATACATGCTGACAGTAAAATCAAATTGTAGAATAATATTTATGGCCAACATTTTTGACATATTATTACATTTTAACTGGCAGGCTACAAACAGTATGACAATTTTTTTTTTGGTAATGAAAAGAATGGCTATGTGTACATATTTCATAGGAAAACACTAAGTATGCATGCCAGGAGGTTAATAGGATTCTTTTCGGGTTGAGGAATTGTGTGAGTGGGTTTTCCCTTTTTTCTTTTTTCAGATATTGCAAGGTTGGTTTGTTTTTACATCGAGTATATATTAGGTTTGTAATTTGAAAAAAGAATTCTTTATGTAAGGATTACTCATGAATAATATTAGCAAATGCTTGCCTGATGCTTATTTTATGCCAACCTCTGTTCTGAGTGCTTTTCATGGATTAAGTGATTTAACCCTCATGAGAATTTAGACGCGGGAACCATGGCTCAGGAGGGCTGGGCAGGTTGCCCAGGTCAGCAGAGTTGGTATGTGGCAGAGCTAGAATCTGAAGCCAAGCCATCTGCCAACAGGGTCCATGCAATTAACCACTGCACCACACTATTACTCCCCAGTGGAAAAAGACGATCCCCATGGCCGACAAGGACATGTGAGGAAATGCACATGTTCCTCTCCTGCTATTGGTAGCAGGGGTTCCCTTGATACACCTTGATCCCAAGTGCTCCATGCTGGTAGTGCTCAGGTGCTATATTCAGTGAATGAATGCAAGTGACAGGTCCCACTTGTCCTCCAGGATCTGAAAAGATAGTCCAGCTTTTGCTAGATTTTGAGCATGACCATGATGGGACTCAAGGAACCTTCCCTCCCTACCTTGACAGTGGGTGACTTGACTTCCTCACCTGCTCTGGAGGATGGTTTTCTGCTGAGAAACCTGTCCTGTCTTCCACCTTCCTGGGAGAGTAGAGGATGGCTCAGGGTATCATGGCCCTATCCCCCATCGGGGGGGATTCACCAGCTGTGGTAGATCATTGCTTTGTGGCATTCAATGAACTGTATCTCTTAGAAGTCACACTTTTGTGTGGTCTCTCCTGCATTGACTCTGGAGTTAGCCATGTGGCTTTCTTTGGCCAATGGGATATTAACAAGTATGATCCAAGCAGAGACTTTATAAGTGCCTGTGCAATGGGCTTGTCTTCTTAGAACAGTTCCTCTTGGAACCCAGCCACCCTGCTGCTGAAAGGAAGTCCAGACTAGACCAGTGGATAATGCAGGGACATGGGAGAGAAGCTCTGGAGGATAAGAGGCCATCTTGGACATTCCAGCTTCAAAGAAGCTTCCAGACGAATGCAGCTGCGAAATGAGCCCTGCCAAACCACTCAGCTGAATCCAGTCAACACACAGATTCATGAGAAATCATAACTCATTGTTATAAGCCACTAAATTGGTAGCTTGTTCTGCAGCCACAGGTAACTGAAATACTGGTCTTCTTTCCCTGGACACTCCTGAAAACAGATCCACATACATTTATTAAGTACCCACTGTGTGCCCAGCCCTGTTTTAGGCACTATGGGATAATCATGAAAGGATTCTGACTAAGAAATGAGAATCTGAGGAGACAAGATTGCTACAGGCAGTAAGTCTAAGGAAGAATTATGGTTACACTGCTGCATAGTAAGGAAAGGCGACTGATTTCCCCAACCCAGCCCCCAACATTTCACCTCACAGCAAAGCTGTTGTGGCTGATAAATTTGGCAAACAGGGTGGCATTGTTGGATACATTGATCTTTTACTTTATTAAAATGATGGTTTTGGGCACCTCGGGCCCCCTGCTTTGATAAATGCTGTTCCTGTGGCAGGACAGTATTCCCCATGTGCTTAAAAGGGAACCATTTGTGTGACCTTCAGATCGAAGAAGGTAGATGAGATGGAGAATTGAGTGGCCTACTCAGCCGATGGACTGTGACACACCATCATTGCTCTTTAGTGGGTGGGAGGTGGTCTTGCTGGTGCATCTGCTTGGCTCTGGCGAGGACTGACCTGCTCACACCTTCATGAATATTCAGCTGCTCCATGAAGGCCCACTGCCTAGAATATTGGAGCTGGAGCAATCCAGAGGTCGTCTGGTCTGATGTTCTCACTGTTGAAAGGAGGAAACCGAGGCCCAGAGGTGAGAAGGACTCGCTGGAGGGCACACAAGGTTTATAGCTCCTCCGTCACTGGCCTTGGTATTAGCCAGAGCTCAGCTGTGGTTCGCAGATCCTCTGAGCCCCCAGCTCCCGTGCTCTTTCTCTTCCTGCCCTCCACCCTCCTGCTCAGGGCTTGCTTCCGTGGCCAAGCGACCAGGGAACTGAGAAAGTCCACCCAGTTGCAACAAGGTTATATACATTAACCTCTGCTTCAGACAGTATACATGAAACTGCAAAAGTGGGCAGAAGCAGTTCCACTTAAAGCATTTAAAGCTTTGTCCTGAGGGGAGTCCTTGGGAAAGCAGGCAAACAGCCTATCATTTCACTTTCTTTCTTAGTTTGATTTTTAATGTGGGTTTTGCTTCTAAGGGGCCATACCTCATACTGCACACTTGAAGGAATGAAACCCTACGCATTCCTGAGCAGCCCCGTTTCCCATCTGGGCCAGTGCAGGTGGATGGCAGGAGCCTCAGTCTCAGGAGCCCTGCTGCTGACACTGGCCCTGAGAAGCCTGTTCACAGGGCCTTGTGGAACTGGCCACTTCTTTTCTTTGTTTCTTGATTTTTTTTCACTGAGACCAGATGAGGACAGCCAAGACTATGGGTAAATTCCACGAATCACAGATACATCTGGAATCTGCTGGGGGGCCTGGGAGGCTGTTCAAGCCAAGGCATCATCATTTCTCAAATTGGGAAAACACAGGCATGGAGGGGCAAAGGGGTTTTCCCAAGGCCTGGAGCTGGTGGGCTCGATGCCAGGAGAAGACTTGGAGGCGATGCTGTAGGCTGGAGGACAGGATGAGTCAGGCCCCCAAGGTGTTTTCCCCACATGGTTTCAGTTCTTAGGTCAGGGTCTTGGCGCCTGAAGGAAAGCCTGGTCTAGGCCATGTGGAAATCCCGAGCTGCTGCAGCATCTCACTCCAATTGGGCATGTCTGGGAGGCAGCAGGTTGCCAATAAGTGATTTACAGCATGTTCCCTGATGTTTTACGTTTTCATCATTTCATGTTGCAGTCCTATCTCCAGTAATGGGATCTGCAGAGGAGTGCAGCTCCCCAGCCTGCTATTTGCAGGAGCCCGAGTGGGGAAGCCTGTGTAGTCTCAGGTCCTCAGCCTTGATTTTTATGGTGTGGCTGTGGTGTCTCAGGACTCTGCGACCCAGGACCACCATTGTGACCACCTTCCTAGTCTTCACTGCTTCCTTTACACCTCAAGTCTGAGGACCTGCTCTGAGCCACACATGGTTCTGGGCTCTAGGAGTGGCAGAGGACTTGGGTGCCATGAGAGTACCAGGTAGTAGCTCCAGCTCAGCCTCCCCTAACCCTGACTCAAACAAAACCATCAGATGCATCCCCTACCACTATCCATCTGTCTGAGAATTCTCAGAACCTTTCCACTGGTGGGAATGCAAAGTGATGCAGCCCTGTGGAAAGAACTTTGGCCATTCCTCAAAAGTATATTATATAGAATTACTATATGACCCAGCAACTCCCCTCCTAGGCATATGCCCAAAAGAATTGAAAGCAAGGACTCAAACAAATACTTGGGCATACAAGCTTATAGGAGCATTATTCACACTAGCCAAAGGTGGAAACAGTTATCCATCAGCAGATGAATGGCTACACAAGTGTAGTATATACATCCAATGAAATACTATTCAGCCATAAAAAGGAATGGAATTCTGATACATTCTACAACATGGATGGACTTCAGAAACATGCTAAGTTTCTAAGCCAAGCTAACATGCTAAGAAGGCAGACACTGAAGGTCACATATTGTATGATTCTGCTTATATGAAACATCTGGAAGGAGACAGAAAGCAGATCAGTGACTGCCAAGGCCTGGGAGGAGGAGAACTGGGGACTGATTGCTTCGTGGGTATGAGTTTTTCCTTGGGAGTGATGAAAATGTTCTGCAACTAAATAGAGGTAGTAGATGCACAACACTGTGAATGTACTAACAGCTACTGAATTGTGTACTTTAAAATGGTTAATTTTATGTTATGTGAATTTCACCTCTAAGAATTTTTTTTGTTTTTTGAGACCAAATCTCACTCTGTCACCCAGGCTGTAGGACAGTGGGGCAACCTTGGCTAACTGCAACCTCCGCCTCCCAGGTTCAAGCAATTCTCCTGCCTCAGCCTCCCAAGTAGCTGGGGCTACAGGTGCCCAACACCACACCTGGCTAATTTTTGTATTTTTAGTAGAGATGGGGTTTTGCCATATTGTCCAGGCTGGTCCTGAACTCCTGACCTCAAGTGATCTGCTCACCTCAGCCTCCCAAAGTGCTAGGATTACAGGTATGAGCCACCGTGCCTGGCCTAAGAAAAAATTTTAATTAAAACTTGTCACTGCCTGCAAATCTCACAGCACCCTAGTGTCACATATATCAGCCGCAACTCCACCTGTTAACTCAGAGCTCCAGATTCCTGCATGAGGTGGTTGATGAGATTATTGAGGCAGGAATTTGAAGATTGGCCTGCAGTTGGGCTGTGGGTCAGGGGGTTGGCATGGGGGTCTCTCTTAGCCAGTGAGTGCACTAGAGGACCCCCAGCACAGGCATCCCCACAGATCTTCAATTTTGTCCTCTCTCCTGGCCCCCGTGCTCACCGTAACATTCATAATATGCTTTGCTGTACCTGGTGGGAGGAGTTAACAATATATAATAGTGGTAGCTGAGAACTGTGGGGGCTAACATGGCTTCAAAACACTTCCTTTGTCACTGATTGGGAAGTAATGAGGGGTCTAGATCTTTAGCTTGGGCTTCCAAACTTCATGGATGGGCTCAGTTAACTCCCAGCATCATTCTGCCCCTCCGGGAGGACACCTCACTCCTCTGACCCTCTCTTGAAGACTCTGGGACTATTACTTCCTCCACACCAGGGCACCACTCTTCTGTGAAGACTCTGACCCAGCCTCCAGTTTTCCTTTGCTTGCCGAAACTCCTGAGGTCACTGTCTGGGCCTCTTCCCTGGTGTTTAATCTACCTGTGTGTGGATGTAGGTCAGTCATATGAAAGTTTGTCATTTTGGTAGTTAATATCAGCCCTAGTTTGTATTTGCTTTATGAGGAAATGAAATACATTCATGCATTTATTTTATCTTTTGTACTTGGCTGGGATTCTATAATTAATAGTTGCTGTTTAAATGTAGACTGGCTGCATGTGGCTCCCTCAAATCTGATACCAGCATTTCCTCTTGGGCTTGTCACAGGTGATCTGACCTGGGCCTGTCCCCGGACTGATGGTGGCCCTGTTAGCGGGAAAGCAGGTGGAGAAGGAGGCTCTGTGGGATTGGGATGTGGACACTGGGAGATGCCAGGGGCACCCCAGCCTTACCCTGAGAAGGGTAAGCCCTTCTCAGCAGCGCTCCTGGCCTTCCTTGGCCAGGCCAGCCCTCAAAAGATACCAGCCAGTCCCTGAAAGAACCCCCTACCCCTCAAATGCTGCTTTCCAGGAGGGCTGAGAGCAGAGGGGCCTGTCTTGGCTCCTCCTGCGCTGCTGTAGAAGGTCCCATATTTCCTTCTTTAGATTCTTATTTATGCTTCCTGTGACTTTAGGCTTTAGCTTTGGAGCAATGAGGCCTCAGTGTGAAAACTAACAGGGGAAAAAGATGGGGCCTGGCAGAAGGTGGCACATCCAGAGCCTCAGAATGAGCCAACCCCCGGGGGATCTTCTGTAGTGCAGCGCACTTCTGTAGTGCAGTTTTGAAATTGCCTTTCTGATTGGAAGGAAAACCCTTTGGCCTCCATTTGAGAGCAGTGCTGGTGATTCTCTGCCCTTCTTTGGCTCTGATATGGGGTGGGGGGGGCGGGGGCTGGGAGGGTGGTGTGGATGTGAAGCAGTGGGGAGAACAGGCAGGCAGAATAAACAGAGTGTGAGCCCAGGCCTGGGGCTGTCACAGGAGGAAGGGTTATGCCCTGGGGAGAGGATCATGGGGGTGCTCCCTGACGAGGAGAGAGGTTGGCTCAGGAGGAAGGAGACTGAGAACAAAGAAAGCGAACATCCACACAGAGAGAGAAAGGGAACACGTGGGGGCAGGGCGAGAACACAGAGACCAGCCTCCCCCTTTCCCACCCTCCTCTCCGCCCCCAGACACTGACGTTCTCAGGCTGCCCTTTCACATATGGGCCTAATTCAGGTAGAGTGAAATCTTGCATTGCTCCGGGTAAAAATTATTGCTTTGGATAATGAAATCTTTGTCATTGGAAACTTTAAAAGAAAAAAATGCCCTTCAAGCCGTGACTTATGGGCAGTGTGGTGATGGAAACGAATTCATCATCCCATTTCTCGCACTGGAATGGGAGGACAAGGTTGATTCATAGCTGGGCCGCGTGCGGCTGGTCCCGCGGGCAGGGTGGCGGCCGGGCCTGCTGAGGAGCCAGCAGGGGAAGCTCCGGCCGAGCGTCCGGGCTGTGGGAGCCGAGTGATAAGCGGCTGGTTGGCACGCTCTGGTCTCAGGTTTTCCTGAGAATTTGCCTGAGCTGTCAAAACATTTCAGGGCTGTGCAGAGACTGTGCCTCAACAGCAAAATCCCATAATGGCTCTATGAAACAAGCCGTATTTTTTTCTTTAAACCCTAAAACTCATACCCATAAAACAATCTCCCAGCCAAAGCCATTTGACCAGCACGAGTGAACAGTACGGCTGTGAATCTCTCTGACTGTGGCACTTTTCATCTGAGATGTACAATGTGCTTTCGATTTCATATTTCACTGGTGTTCTGGCCTCCCCACAGGGTAGACAAAGGGAACCCATCACTGAATGTGTTTGAGAGAGATGGAGTTCAGCCACAGCCAGTGATCCTGAGCATGTTGCACATGGAACCGGGAGCCTCGAGTCCCTACCTCAGGGTCTGGGCCTCATCCCCAGGCCTCCAGCCAGTGGCCCACCTCCAGGCCCTGCGTTCCTTCCATTTCACGACAAGGGTTTGGCCACCTGGAGCCAGGGTCCTGACATCTTTATAGGGCAGAACTGTTTTTGTTTCCCTAAAGCCTAGAGGTCAGTGAGCATGAGAGGTTGTAGAAAGGCGGAAGGGAATTCCTGGGCAGACTTGGGGTAGAGGACCTCCCAAGGACCAGGGCAGATTGATCTGCCAGTCTGGAGACCCACCAGCTAGGGTAGCAGGAGCTGCCTTGGACTCCCGTCAGGTGACATCTGGTCCAGTTGTCATTCCTCCCGCAGCAATTCTTCATGGGGAGATGGAGTAGAGAAGCTGCCACTGAGGTGGCTGGGCTGTGGAGAGAGGGTTATTGATACGAGCAAGAGATGGCTTTTGCTGGTGTTCAGACTCTGCCGCCTCCTTCACTTCTTCCCAGATACTTGTATGTGAGTGCTGGCTGACCTAGGTGCTGGGGATTCGGGAACACGGGACAGACACAGCCCACTTTCACATTTAGGGCATGGGGGAGACAATAAGTAATAAATAAATGAGAAAATTTCAAGTAAGTTCCAAGAAGAAAATATGACAGAGTGAGGAGAGGGAGAGGGCCTGGGGGCTTCTTTGGATTGGGAGGTCATCAAGGCTTTTGCAAGGAGAAGTCCCCTAAACTTAGTCCCAAAGACAAGATGGGGCCTGCTGTACTGAAACCTGGCAGGAGAGTATTCCAGAACAGCAGCAGAGTCCCTGAGGTGGGAACAGACATGCGATTTACCAACCCCCAGCAGCTGAATATTCTCCCAGAACCCACATGGCGTGTGTGAGACTAGGAAGCAGACGTGTGGAGTTTGCATTCTGGCTGCCTGTTTACTTACTAGCTGTGGGGCTCTGAGCAAGTCACTCAGCCACTGAGACCCTCAGCTTCCTTGTCTGTGAAGCGGAAGGATGACTCTCTCTGGGGCTCACTGTGTGTATTAGAAATGATGTGATGTAAAGGCTTTAGCACTGCTTCTGGCACCCAAGATTAGTAACTTTGCTTTATGGCTAAAGGCTCCTTCTAGCCCTCCCCAGCTCTGCCTGGTTTCTCATTCTTCATTGCCTGGGAGCAAAAGCCCAGGCTTCTGTGCCAGCCCCTAACCCCACAGTCAGGCCTGGTGGTCTTGGTCCAGCCACCTAACATAGGCTCCCTAGAACTCAGGATTACACCACTGCTTCTGGAACTCTGACAAGGCAGTGGCACTCTCGCTTCCTGCCTGGGTCGTGAAGATCCTCTCAGAACTACCTGTCCCTCTTGCAGCAGACCCCTCCTGCAGGCCAAGACCTCAGCCAAACCAGAGCCAGCCCAGAAGGAAAGGCAACTTTCTGTGAAGACAGATCCCAGTGCCATCCCAACTCTTCTTGCTATGTGATCTTGACGGATTTATTTAACCTACTGAGTTCGATTGGCCTCATCTGTAAAATAATGTTATTTTCAGAGGTAGGAAATTACTATTTTACCACAACCAGTACCAGTTTTACACGGGAAAGGAATGATCTTAGTTTAGTAAAATGCACAGTAGGACACGGGAGTGGGAGGGGCCCTTAGGGGAGGCTGGAGTAGGAAGAGGAATAGATGAACCATCCTAGTCTGCATGAGAAAGGACCAGAATTGGTGGTGGTGGGCTCAGGGAGGGGATTAGAGAAGAGAGGGCTGCAGCAACCGGAAACTGAGGCAGAAGGGGAGGAAATGCCCAGGGGCTACCTAAGAACTTAAGTCCACTTTTAATTTTCCCTGCATCTTGGAGTGAGATGTACGTTTCCAGCTATTGCCCCTAAATCTTCAGAAAAATCTCTACATCCAACTTCCATGCCTGCTTGTACTCAGAGGCTTGGGGATCAGGGAAAGGTTCCGGGTCTGTGCTGGGAGGAAGAGACACAAAATGAAGAAGAAGGATAATTCAGCAGAATTCTGAAATCAGAGCCAGAAGAGGATAGAAGAAGCACCAATCTCTGAGAATTCCCAGAAGTCTTGGTGAGGGCACTGGACATGCCAGGGGCGGGGGGCGGAGGTGGAGGGAGTTCAAGACAATCAGGTCTGGATCTTAAGGGACAGATGACCCCAGAAGACACCAGGATTGGACCACTTTGTAAGGCACTGGGGGAGAGTCAGCAGCTTCTGTGGGCATTTGTATTCAAAGAGCTCTCTTACAAGACATTGACAGACATAGCCTTAGCTGGAGACTTAGCTCCCTGGTGGTCTCTCTCACCTGGCTTGGGTCAGAGGATAGGGTTTAGGTGATTTGCTTCCTCAAAGCATGGGGATGCCTAGCTGGTTCCTTAATGCCTTCTGATGCCTCAGTGTCCCCCGTGCAGCCCCTAGGTGTTGGACCAAGCTTCAAAAAGTCCACATGCACTGAAGCAATTTCTGCTTTGAGTGCTGGTCTGCTCTTCAGACCCACTGGTTATTTGAGTGAGC